AGGACGGAGGTGATGAGGGTGTGCAGATCCCCCTGGGGCTGATGGCCCTAGTCCGTCGGCACGGGTGTGGAGCCCGATGCCGAGGTCGTCGCCGCCTCGGCGGCGTGGGACATGTTGTCGGCCATCGGGAGGTAACGGGCCGGACTAGAGAGGGTCGAGGGAGGTCCGCGTGAGCGGAGGGCATAGGGGGAGGTCTGCGATAGAAGGCGACGGGCGTCGCTTATAAATCGAGCGCGGGCGCCGTCCAAGGGGGAGGGGTGGTTCAGATCCAGGGCGCTGGAGTGGAAAGGGGGAGTAGGAGAGGGTTTAGGGAAATCCTAAACCCTAAAAAAACCCTAAGGAAACCCTAACCGGAGTTAGAGTGGTTAGGATAGGGTACCGGTGACCTAATCAAGAAAATAAAATAGCAAGAATGGGGGAGGCGGGAGAAAAATAAATAAATAGTGAAATTTCAAAAGAAAAATAATAATAAAAAATAAAATAAATAAATAAATAATTAAAATAATTAAAAAAATCAGGAAACAAAATGTGAGGAGAGAAATCATATTTATTTTTTTGGAATTTTAGGCAGCATTTCCCTACCCCCCATGGGGTCAAGAATGTGCCAAGGGAAATAAGAGACCAAGATAAGCAAACTAAGTTTCGAAGTGCTGCAAATTAAAATTTTTAGAAAATAAATAAAGAAATAATAAATAAAGAAATAATAAATAAGGAAATAGATAAATAAATAAATAAATAAATGGATGAGGAGGTGAAGAGAAATTAAGTGTAGGATTTTTCAAAAATTTTGGCAGCATTTCGTTACCCCCATGGGGTCAAAGTGTAACGTCAAGAAGAAAGGCCAAGTAAAATGGGAAAATTTCGGCAGCACTTCGTTACCCCCACGGGGTCCAAATGCGTGTCGAAGCAAGAATGACTAACACCTAATCAGATTTAAGGGTGCCGCAAAGAAATTCAAATTTTCAGAATAAATAAATAAAAAATAAAATAAATCAGAAAATGAAAAAAAAAGGTGGGAAATAAGATAATTCGAATTTTTGGAAAAGGGAGCAAATATAAATCAAAAGAAAGATGAAAAGAAGAAAAACAGAAAAATTTCGAAGTTGGGGGGAAGGGGGATGAAAAAGTGAAGGAGAAAACGGAAAAATAGATGAGAGAAAAAAATAAAATAAAGAGGGAGATGGGGGGAGTGATGGGGCTGTAGTTGAGGGAGAGGAGGGAGGGGATAAGGGAGAGAAAGGGATGGGAAAGGTGGAGAGGGATCAAGAGGCAGAGAGAAGGGAGAAAGAAAATAAAATAAATGAATAAAATAGAGAAGAATAGTCGGCGGTGGGAGAAAAGGTGGGGAGAGGGGTGACCGTATGAGTAGTGAGAGTGATTAGAAGGAAGTGAGTGGGGTGAGTAAAAGGAGAGAGAGGAGTAGAGAAAGTGGAATAGTGGAGAGAGGGAAGAGGGAAGTGTGAGCAGACCCTCATCAGGTATCTCCAAGGGCACAAGGTATACCAAGACCAGGAGGGTCTTGACCTTCGCAGCAGCAAGCCAACTAGAGGAGGGTAGGGGGCTGAGATTTTGATCAGCCCCTCGCAGCAGCACTGCAGCGCCAGGGTGTGCTGTGTGAGCAGACCCTCATCAGTGTAGATCAGCCCCTGATCAGGGGTTCTTCAAGCCACAAACAGCACTGGCCGCCAAGCCAGCATATCGGGACCACTCCTGCGCTCGCCACATCACAACCACCAGCGTCGGAAACTCATCCTACCCCTGCTCCAACCTGGCCTCCAAACCCACCGAAACCTGGGGGGGCACGAAATCTTTCGCTAAGATACCTCCAATCACCGGAACCTTGAGACTCAGCCCCGGAATGGACCCTACCACCGCCGCCGGCTGCACTTCGGAAAGGGGGGGGGGGGGGGGCAAAAAGTTCCTTTCATCCGTTCAAGCCACCTGCGCCAAGTGGCGCAGTGGTTATCACACCGTCCCGTAACGTCCGACACCGCCGTTTGCAACGAGTTCAAATCCCACGCGCCACAAAGTGTGTGATCACCATCACGCAAAAACGAAAATTTTCGCAACCGAAATTTGACAGTGCCGCCAGCGGGGCTGGCGGAGCTTGCTGCTTCGGCCCTCTTGCACAAGCGGCCAAGCACTACTGCCGCCCGCAATGATTGCAGTGGGCCTACGAGATGCTGCTTTTCGCCTGCTGCAGCTCCGTGGCCCCCGTAATGATGGCGGTCAGATCTTCTGCACTACTTTCCCAACCAAGAAAGTACAACGCCATCCACTACCGGACAGCGGGATGACTAGGGTGGGTGGGCGGGATCAAGGATCGATCCTGCTCCGATACCAATGTGGCGGACCCACCAGGTGTGGTGCTCCGCCTCGGATAGAGATGGAGGAAGAAGGGGGGGAGCGAGATGGCATAGCGCAGCTCCCACGCTAGACTCCAACGCACGCACTCCAAACTGTGCGAATGTAGAATGATCTGGAAAACAGACGACAATTGGGGTATACCCCAACGGACTGACTGGACTGGACTGGAATGGCTGGTACCGACAGAGGTACCGGCCTGGACAGGACTACCCCTAATACAACACAGGTCCGTGAGAACAGGGCAAGGGGTTGGTCTCATAGGCCAACCAGAGGTCCGCTACACTCACCTACGCAAAGCATACAACCCATCGCACAAACACACACCCCGCTGCCGCCCGCCCGTAACCAACAAGCTCACCCCCAGCAAAACACTAAGTAAAACACCACCTACTTCAACTACTATGAATCTCCACCAGATAACATGCCCTTCATCACTAGCCTATTTAGCTGCACATAGCATGCTTGCAAAACTGGCTGAGGAACTCGCCCACATTTCCCAACCTCCTATGCTGCCGATTCGACTTCCTAATGCCCACCTAAACAGCGAGTACAAGCAGACTAATGCTCGCCTACAAGAAGTCTTCGTTAACACCTCCTAATCCCCTCTCGTCAGCACTACGCTCAGCTGCGAACCGTATACGGCTTAACTCACCGAGGGAACATGGCTACAGTCGAGGAGACTTTTTCTTCGCAGGCGCTTTGCTCACAAGTATGTTACGACTCAAACATACCCGCTGATAAAACCCTTAAAAAACCGCCCTGCCTTTTTTCCCCAGTCCAGCTCCGCCCTCCCAATTTGCTAACTAATATGGAGCATTCTCCCTCTGATGAGCTGCTATGGGCGCTAAGCAACGAAAAACGCGCTTCAGGGCGTGCAACCCCCTATGGCTGTCTTCAACAACCATCTCTCACCTCAGTCTAACCTCTAATCTGTTCCCCCCTAATTCATGATGGAGAACTAACATGCATCCTCCTGGTATGGAGTTGATGATTAAATTTCCCCCTCTTAAAACCAATATGTGTTAAGCCTACTGCTAATTTGTCGCGTGTTTACGATTGGACAGATACATGGCCTGGTTCCCCATTGTATATGGGCATGGTCTGGTTCCCCATTGTATATGGGGTAGTCATGTTATACACACCCACTACACATACACACACACACACACACACACACACACACACACACACACACACACACACACACACACACACACACACACGTCACGTCGCGCTCCCCCCCCACAGACGACCACTGACACTCCCTAGGCTCTCTGAAACCGCGTCGGCGACCGATACTAACCCGGGGGAAACCCATTTGCGAGACCTGAGAACATGTTATTGCGAACTCGTTCTCGACCCGTTCGCGCGAACGGGGGAACTTGTTCGCTAAAATGGGAAAGCTCATGAACACGTTCGTCGTGCTACGCAAGTGCTCGCACACACACACACACACACACACACACACACACACACACACACACACACACACACACACACACACACACACACAAACACACACATGTTTCTTCTTCGTGTTAAAAAAAAAGAAAAGAAGGTTTGTTGTGCTACTGAGCACTCTACATGTGAGTGGACTGTTTTCTGGACCAAACGCATTCGGACCAATGGAACACTTTGGATGCATCTGAACCATTATCAAATCCGGCTAGATTTCTCATTTTTTTCTTTTTTTCCCTCCATTCCTCTCCACCCTGTTGTGGGTTCCGCTACACCCCCTGCCCCTTCCGCTCTTCTTTACTCTGCTCCATTCTACTCTACTCTACACTTCCCTACTCCACTCCACTCTACTCTACTCCACTCTAGTCTCCTCCAATCCTCTCTGCTTCACTCCAGTCTTCTGCACACTACTCCACTCCACTCTACTCCACTCCACTTAACTCAACTCAACTCAACTCAACTCAACTCAACTCAACTCAACTCAACTCAACTCAACTCAACTCAACTCAACTCAACTCTCCTCCACTCTACTCCACTCTACTCCATGCCACTCTACTCCACTCCACTCCACTTTATTCCACTCGACTCGATTCTACTCGCCACTCTTTCCCACTCCACTCCACTCCACTCTACACCACTTGACTCGACTCTACTCAACTTTACTCTACTCCACTCTACTCCACTCCCCTCTAGTCCACTCCCCTCTACTCCACTCCAATCTACTCCACTCAGCTGCTCTTCGCCACTCAACGCTTTTGTACTCTACATTTCTCTGCTCTTCTCTTCCTTACGCTTTTCTTCCCCACTCTTCTCTACTGTACACTTCCTTACTTTACGCTTCCATGCTATGCGCTACTCCGCTTTGCTCTTCTCTGTTGTGCTATGTTTTCCTCTTATCTTCTCTGCTGTGCTCTACACTCCTTTAGTCTGCTCTGGTGTACCCCACGCTGCCTTACTCTACTCCATTCTACTCTACTCTACTTCACTCGCCTCCACTCCATTCACCTACACTCTCCTCCACTCCACTCCAATTTACTCTACTCTACTCCACTTCACTATACTCTACTCCACTCTACTCCACTTTAATCTAGTTCATTCCACTCTACTCCGCTCCACTCCACTGTACTCCACTCCACTCCACTAAGTCACTCTACTCTACTCCAATCTACTTCACTCTATTCTACTCTACTTTATCTACTCTACTCTACTCTACTCTGCTCTTCTCTCCTCCACTGTACGTTTGTCTACTCCCCTCTAGTCTACTCTTCTTTACTCTTATCTCCTCTACGCTTCTCCACTCCGCACTTTCCTGCTCTTCACGTCCCTGCTTTGCTCTGCTCCTCTTCTTTTCTAAGTCTTCTATACCCTGCTCTACACTACTCTCCTCCACTCTGCTATAATCTGCTCTGTCGTGCTTTGTTATGAACTGCTCTGGAAGCTCTGCTATGATCCTTGTTACCCTTCATCATATTACGACCAGCTGCTGACTTGAATGGAACGACAAATCGTTAGAATGAACGTTTTTCTTTGTATGTTGGTGTTGTTCTTTCTTTACAATGCGCATTGTTCTCTTTATTTTATGCATTGTTCTTTTGTTGCTCCTCTCTCTCTCTCTCTCTCTCTCTCTCTCTCTCTCTCTCTCTCTCTCTCTCTCTCTCTATCTCTCTCTCTATCTATCTCTCTCTCTCTCTCTCTCTCTATCTATCTATCTATCTATCTATCTATCTATCTATCTCTTTATCTCTCTCTCTCTCCTCCCCTTTTCTCCTTCTTTTTTTTTCTAAATTCTCAATCTGTCGTTTTTTAATTTCTCAATTGTGCTCTGACTCCGGAATCGGTTTGAGGGAATTTTTTATTACCTTCTTATTTTTATTTTTTTTTCTTAAGTCTATCTCAGTTTATGCAAGCAGTGAGTGCGAGGTCACCCACTACATTTCTTATTTATGCGGGCTTAGCCCGCACCACTCGAACTGCGGGCGTTTGCTAGTTTATTATATTTCTTTTGATTACAATACTTGTTTTTTTTGTTCTCTATTTTTTTTTAAATTAACAAAAATGCCAAACCCTACAACCCCATATATATATTGCCTATTTTCCTATAAATTAAAATTATCGGGGGTTTCCGGCTGTACTTGATCGCATGTGGTCGCTCATGGCAGTCATGATCTTTACCCCATGCGGTCATTGGCCCCCCGGTCATGACCGCGGGTGATTCATAGATTGAAACAATCCCCTTTTCATTGAAATCAACTTGGTGACGGTCTAAGTACAAGTACATTTTGAAGTTACCAAGAAGCCTCAAAGTTTGAATCAAACTGCCTCTCTCAATTACGAATCATCACCCCAAGCGAAACTGCTCGAGACATAGTAGCAAAGTTGAAAGCTAGAGAACACAAAATTACTTGTGATGCCAGTCATATTTCGACCACGGTCATCCTTCACGAGAAAAATTGTCACGGAGGTAATTCCGATTGTTCTAATGGCCCACGTCAGTATCCACTATACCAAGTCATAAATGGGATATACATTGGAAAGACACGTGAGTCTTAGGTAAGTTATCGTCATTATTATGCTTAAGTTTTCACGTGACCTTACTTGAGCATCTGACCTCAGGATGTTCTATTGATTCAGGGTTGATAACAACTACAGAGAGCTCATGCATAAAGTTTGTTAATATACTATATAGAGCATTCGTTCCTTCTACTAATTGACTATGACTTTTCATGCGCTTACATTATTCACCTCTTGCACACCGATCGACGATCACAGACCAATGTAAGCAACATATGAATTGGTGATAGTTACTTAGGGCGGCCGATAGGACGTCTCTTAACGAGATGGCAAATACATAGTATAAAACCTCAACGCGTTTCACTGCCCAGTCAACAGCGAAAGTACAGTCTTATTTATTGATGAGAGTGGTATAGACTATGCATGAGAGCAGTTGACGTCAACAACCAGACCATGGAGAGTGGTACAGACTCCAGTGATGGAGAGTGGTATAGACTATGCACGAGAGCAGTTGACGTCAACAGCCAGCCAGACGCTCTTCTGGAGAGTCTTATTCATGAAGTCCAACCACTGGATTGTAACTCTCTCTCACACAAGCAAACATTTTCGTTCTCCCCTCATTTGATACCAACGGCGAGTTCACACACGGAGCTCCCTCTCAAGTCCAACCTCGCCTCTGTGATAGGGATGGAGATAGTAACAGGGTATGACGTCAACCTCTGAGTGCAAGCACGCTTCTTATGAGCCATACACACACTCGAAATCCAACTTTTTTCGTTCTTGCACGCCACCATACCTAATCCACGTGTCCGCTCTCGACTACCCTTACACCAGAGATTGAGGGTAGTACGGGTAGGGCATGAAGGCCAATGACACAGGCAGTGCGAAAGAAAGTTGACATCAACAGTAAGTTCACACGTAGAGTAAGCACGCAACTCTCACTTCTCTCTCTCGCTCCTACCACCCATGCCCTACCTCAATGCGTCTCCCCGATTATGCCACTCTTTGTCTTCGCTCGTAATTGCCTCACGACCTTTGGTCCTCCTTCGCCACGAGCTGGCCTCTGGGCCATTCTTCATAGACGCTGTTGGTGGGTGGTCCCATCGCCACCACTCCATCCCGTGCCATGTTTGAGTCGCCTCGTTGCTGGCCTTGGACTTAGCCTCGGAGTCCCGGTCCAGGCCTTGTTGCTCCCTTTCAGTGGTACCGGTTGAGGTTACCGTCTCGCGGTACGAAATGATCACCTCGAGCTGGTTGGTAATGCGGTCCTGCTGAAACCTTTTCTCCGCAATGTTCTTGGCTTTTGTAATCGTCGCCTGCAACTTCTGATCCTGTCTTATTTTGACTTCTCTACCACCTTCAACATTGATCTTTAGCTTGGCATCTTCCCCATCAAAATTCAGGATAGTTGTAATTCAAGGACCCTCCTCAGACACCAAGGCCCAGCGTACCAAGAGTCTCCAGCAGTCTGTCTTATAGCCCTCCAACCCCTTTCGACACACGATAACTCGCTACTTAAAGTATCTCACGCCTAACACTATCAATGGTTATCCTCATAGAGGATCGTCGGTCTGCTAGAGGCAGATAGTCGTTTCCAACTTGCGTCACGACTTCGATCTGTTTGAATCGGAGCCAGCAGAACAATCTTCACGAAGCCCAGTTGTACGAGAGAGTACGGCCATTTAATTTAAGGACAAAACACTACAATAGACTATGCGCACTAAACGGGGGAACTATGATAAAATAAGTAAATAAAATAAATGATAACAAAATGAAAACACTATAATAATATTTTATTTACCAAAAGTGTGATTAATAAATTTTCGAACTCAAACGTTGAAACGAGAACACGACTCTACGGCCTACGACCTTCGTCTTTCCGATTTAACCTGAAAAGACATGTGATTGTGACACTCTGTGGTCCCAGAACCAGATGGTGACCAACGTCCGCTTTTCTTTAAGTGAAGTCATGAGATTACTATTGACGGGTACCTGTGTCCGATGGCAAGTAGGGGGCTCATCATCCTCTACAGGGTGATGAGCTGCCTACCAACGTGGCCATGGGTGCCCCTATGTTGGAGCTTTACAAAATGACGCTTAGTAAATTGTGCCCTCGACAAGTGAAACACGAAGGGTTCGGTCAATCTAGGTTGCCCGCTCGTAATCAAGGTTTCGAAAAATGAACCGTTCGTTCTTCTACGACGTGACAAAAAAGGGGGAACTAAATTTGAAAAGACAAAATAAAAGCAAGGAAATTTAAATCACTTTCACAGATTCCTAACACCTCGATCGTTTGGGACCATCTAATTAAATGAGAATAAAACATGGGTCCAGATCTAAGCGTGATTCCAAAATATGCCAGTTCTCTTTCTCTTTCCTCTTTTCTCTTTGTTTTTTCTCTTCTTTTATTTTTCCTTCTCGATTCACAGTTTCAACTTTTAACCCATAACTCGACTAGAGGGTGTTCGACATGCAGTAGAAAAAACCAATGTAGCCCAACGTCCTCGCTGGGCCAAAGACGAAGTGGACGGTCTGTATAAATAACAATGTTAGCAACGTACCCATTTATTCTCACAGTAGTCTAATAGTTGAATTTTCGCACCGGAGTTTGCGCTTTGACAAATTTTTCGATTACCATTGTGTAAACTATTTATTTTTTTCGGTTAAGGTCCTCCAGCTTTTACTCCTCGTAAAACATCTTTGTGAAACCTATATAGTCCTTTTTCATTTTTTTTCTCTTCAGCATAGTTTTGTTTCAATCAAAATATACCAACTCTAAGTTTGAATAATACAATAGTTATAATACTTTTCAGTTGACCGCCATCCATAGCTGAATTGTGTTTCTTTCTCGAGATTAATACGTCATTATCAATACCTTAGTGATAGAGGCATGCAGGGGACGAGAGAGGGCGAGGTGCTAGGGGAGGAAAGTCTCTCGAGGAGTCCGCACTATGTGTTAGAAGGCGCATCAGTGCAGAGAAATAAAAACAAAAGAGGTATCGATATAAAATCCACTAGATGGCTTACCCACACCACTTTTTTTTCGAGTGGTATGAATGGACTTCATCTCCAACGAGGATGAAATACTATCAGAAGGAGTTTGAAGGGCGCTACAACTCTCCCAACACTTCCTCCCCTTCATACCACCGCAGTGCACAGGTTAATCCAGTGACTAGCAAGACCATCATACCCGTAGTTTCACCTTCCTCTTCTAGTGTTCCAATAGTTCTTGTAGCAAACAAGTATCTCGGGAACTATAGTCTTTTCTATATTTTCTTTCACCTCATCTGAGTTCAAGTGGAGTTCATGGTTGTCTTTTACATCTTGCACAAGCACAACGTTTTCCCTTAAATTCTCAGATCACTTAATGTTTCAAAGCATCCTTAGCTTGAAATTTTGAATATCTTGAGGTCGGGGATGCAGGTTCCTTGTAAACCAGGCCGCTCCGTCGACCACCAAATAAACTTTAAGAAGGATGATATATGAGTTTCGAATCTGCAATTGACTTTGGCCTCGTATCACTTTGAAATCTGATTTTTCACTGAACTTTTCTCGGTGGATAAGTTACTTTTTTTCTCATCTTGACAACAATGTCGGGGATATTCCCAACCTATGATTAATATTGAAGGCACTCGCTCTATCAACAATGTTAGAGATGAAGTATACCCAACTCTTTCCTTGTTCTTTGAATAGAGTGAAATACTTTTTCAACTTCCCGGACAATTGAAAGGGATACTAAATCTTGTTTTCTTCCCCTGATCTGAGTGAGGCATCTCCTTAACTTCTCAGACAAGCAAAGAAGATACCAAAACCCTTTTTCTTCCTCTGGTTTGAAAATTTCAAGTGAACCCGCATAAACCTGCAAAACATCAAGTTCCAAAGACAACCAACCAACCAAGATCCCAACAAGCAAACTCCTTGACAAAAAATAGTTAAGTATTAATAAAATAAAATAGAATAAAATCTCGCAATGAGAAAATAAAACGAATATATAAAATTAAATAAAATTATAAATTAAGTTCCTTACCCAAAAGTTATTGATTGGTTTATTGTCGTCCCATCAGTTAGGATTCACGGACCTCCCTTAACCCTGGCAACCCTTGTTCGACCCGCCTCAGACTAAAACCAATCAAACAATTTGTCTGACAATCCCTTTAACCTGCGTCCAAGTGAAGACCACCATACCCACTACTTAAGTATGATGGTCAATTTGACGCGCCTCACGCCAGGACACCGAGACTATAGCGGATCTAGTTACCCTAGGACAATAGACTTCCTTTCAGCCCAATTTCCTTGTACCCGGATTTGATCATGAACGGTGGGGGCGGGCTCACCTACTAGTTTTCGGCCCAGGGCGCTGGCTGTCCCGCCCAGACTTCGAGCGCAGGACTCGGCTAACTATGATCCGGGCTCTGGCTAACCCACAAGATCGCTTCCTCTGACTGCGGTAGGGTTCCAACTTCCAACCGCCCTTTTTACCTCATAAGCCAGACTCTCAGAGTCTTAGATTCGACCAACTACGGAATTCGACACTCGAGTCGGGGAGTTGCTGACCCCACCATATTACAACCTACTGCGATAAGGCTCTGGCTAGCCCCGACAATCAATGGCATCTTAGGTTCGAGAAGAAAATACAGGCAAGCAAGCATGTAAAAACCCACAACTAGACTTCCAATGACCAAAATATTTGAACAAACCTTGCTCAAGAGACGCCACTTCATTATGAAGAGACACTGCACAACAACAAGACAACAATCAACAAAATATTTGCAAGAGACCTCCCTTCAACCTTAAGAAAATACAAGGTATTGATCCCAGACAGGTTTCTTCCCTCATCTGAAAATCTTTCAAGAGACTTTATGTCAGCCTCAAGAAAATATCAAAATACTGGTCTCAGATAGGTCCCTTCCCTCATCTGAGATTTTTTATGAACAACTTAGTCAAGAAACACGAAGTCCCTTTACTGACAATTTTTAGTCAAGTAAACTCGAACTTTTTTATGTCCATAAAAAAAAAACTTCCTTTATTACTCGAAATAATTTTTGATCACATCTTGTAAAACCATTGTCAAAATTTTATCTAATTTTGACATTGCGTCAAACTTAGGAAGATGAAAGTTCATCATTTCCTATTGTAGTTGCATCTTGCAAACAATCCCCATCTTAGGGATCTGATACTCACGAGTTGACAGCAACTCACTCTTGGTGATCACTTAACCCTCCTTGTTTCAGATATTTACAGAAACAAAAAGGTTGAATTTTATGCAAACCTAGGCTACCAAAGTGGCCCGCGGTCACTTGCCCGGCTAAGCCAAAAAGATTTAAAATTTTAAAAAAATAAAAATTATTCTAATATTTTATTTTATATTTTAAATTTGGTAAATAATTTCGATGTGACCCTGAGGCAAAAGTTGCTCAATTTATTTTTTTGCATAGCATAGGTTTTTTTTTCTTCAGAGTTTTTGATTTTTTTTTTTTTTGCTGGGACCCTCCCTTGTCCTTGCACGGGCTGGCCACCCGGGACCCGGGCGGCCCGGTTGGTAGCCTAGATGCAAACAATATAATATTGTTTGAAGATTTCTCTCTTAGTTCCTCAGGCTTAAAATAAATTGTTAAAGGACAAGCAAAAATAATTAGAATCTGCTATCTTTTAGTCTTACTAGTCTCACTGAATTGCCTCTTCTGTCTTACTTAAGACTATCTTACTGTTATATATTCAACTGTACTTCTTCTTTCTCTTGCTCATCGTAGAAATCAAATCAGGATCTCTGAAAATCAACTTTCCGAGCTTTGACCCTGATACCTTATTATGTATTATTGAGTCATCCATCTTAGAAATCTCATAAATGTTGTTTTCTGTTTCACCAGTAATTCTGTAAGGACCAAGCCATGCGAGTTCCAAACGTTTAGTCCACTAAGTCTCAAGTAAACTGTTATAAAGCAAAATAACATCATCAACTGTTAACTTTTTTTTTCTATTGCATTTATTTTTATTCCTCCTCTCTTGATCAGATAGTCTGTTGAAGGTCATTCTCTCTGGAACATCTAGTGTATCCTGATTAACTTTAAATATTTGTCTCATTCTGATTTGTAAGAAACTATGAGAAAAATTATACTTTGTCTCTTAGTTGACTTAACCAATTCTTGATTATGCTTTCAATACGTAGGGTAACATACCAATCGTACCACAAAGTGATTAATACATAATCAGTGGTCCTCTTAACATTCATGTTGTCAACATAAATTGCACTTCTTAGCATCTTTGATAATTCTTTCATGCCGTTTTGCTAATGAATTTTTCAAAGTTTTATTACCTCTCTCAACTGGTGTATTCGTCTGAGCGTGATAAGTAATCACATATCCGATTTTGACGCTAGTCTGAGAGTAGTTCTTCTTACAAATTCATTTATGAAGTTTGATCCTCTGTCAGAAACAAACTATGTTGTGAAAGAATATATGAGATAAATTTTATTTATCTAATCATCCATTTGTTCAGTTTTCCTCATTTTTAGGCTTTTCGCTTTAACATAGCCAGAGAAATGATATCTCATGTTCAATATGTATCTCATCCCCCATTTGTCTAAGGACGTGGTGATGAGATCCAAATGAACTCGAGTACTTGGTTCTATCTGGATAGTGGATAACAGAGACTTCATCATTCTTGTTGTAAACCTTTTTTGCAAACAACACATGATTTGCAAAATGTGTAAATCATGTCTCTCATATCAAACCATAAATAAATCTTAGCAGACTTATAGCAGATTGCCTCAACAGCTTGATCCCCACCGGCAACCCCTTTGTGCAGAACAACAATTATTTTCAAGTGTCTCTCTTTTCTACGCACCACTCTTAATGGAGCCAACTCACTCTTACCATTCATAAAAAAATGTTTATTTTTTGATTGTCTTCTCAATAATCTCTTGATAACTTCCTACGTATTATTTAAGAACAAATGAAATTTCTTCCTCTTTCTTTTCAATGTCTTCTTCATTCTTTGAAGCTTAATTTTTCCTTAGTTCATGGATAAGCACAACTGCAGCCTTGACTCTTTTTTACCAATCGTTCTTATTTTCTTCTTCCTCGTTCTCAATAATTATCTCATAGATATAAGCTAAGTAGCAAATCCGGATATTCGACAGACCAACTTTATCCGGAATTTTCTATCTAGATGAAATTTTCGGATTAATTCCGGATATCGAAAATCCGGACTTGCGTAAAATATTTTTTTTTTACCAAAAAAAAAAAATCAAAAAAATATGGAAAAATATTATGTTGTTCATATCAATGATAATAACAACTTTTGGCTTGAGGCCATCATTGATTACTCAACAGATATGAATATGAAAAATAAAACAGAACAGGAAAATAATATTTAGATAAAAAATTATAAAATGAATTAAGCATCCCCCCTCTAAATCCCTTTATTCCCTATCTTATCCCCTTTGAACCCTTTCAGGCCCTATCAAGCTTTGCATGAAATAGGAACGTAGTTCTATTGTATTTTGCATGCACAATATCAATTCGTTTTTTTTTTTTTTGCTTTTTTTAGGCCTTTTTTTTTATCATCTGGATTTCCGGATGATCCTACCCCCCAATCATCCGGCCAGATAATCCGACCAGATCATCCGGCCACAAAACCCATGCTACCTAGGATATAAGAATCAGAAATGTCACATCAACAATTTGTTTCGTCATGCCACAAACTCCTCTTGTGGAAACTTGGTGCCTTGTAATCTTCATCATATTTTTCATTCAGAAATTCATCGACTTAAGCAAACTCTTCAATAATTTTTTGAACTTTTTCAATACCTTCATCATTATCCGATCTCCACTCAATTCGTCTTAAACCATCTGCTCGATTTTTCTCGGTTGAAATCTTTTTCAATTTAAAGTTAAAGGTTCAGATAAAGACAATCTATTTATTTACCGTTGAATCTTTCTGTTCGTGTTTTTTAATGACATCAATCATCGCAGATAACTCAGTCCTAAAAAACGAATTTCCTTTCATAGTGCTTAAAATACCCACGACAGCAAGTGGTTATTTGTAACTCTTTCCTGAATCGATTGTAATTTTTTTCGGTAGAACTGAGAGTCTTGCTCTCAAACCTTAGAGGTGTTTTCCTATCATTCTCATATTTCTTTATAAGCGCACTGCCAAAAACAATTGGACCCGGATCTGCCTCGATGAGAATGATTTTCTCTCTTCATCATCGTAATAAGATACTACAAGTACCACACCTCCGTTTTTTAAATTCATTTGTAGATCTTTAGTAGCGATTTGTCTTCTCTCTGTCCATGATGAATCACGTCTCTATTTCATCATCTTTCTCTGAGGCTCTGCAATGGTAGCAAAATAAGGAGTGGAGGTCCTCCAAAACCCACAAACGCCCAATAAGCTTCTGACGTTATTTACTCGTTTACGAGATAAGGGTCAGTTTAAGATCTTATTTATCTTCTTGGGGTTGGGGCTCCTGCCCTCAAAGAGGCATCTAAAACCTATGATTGTCACTTCTGTCCGAAAGAGAGGAGACTTTAGTCCATTGGTAGTCGCATTGTTTTCTTGAAGTCTCTCTAGAACAAACGTTATACCATCAGCACGCTCCTAGACAAACTTTCTAACACTATCACCAACCAATGTCTCATTTCTTACTATAGGCTCTTTCACTATATTATAATGAATATAATGACTAACTATTTCTGGATAAATGTCCTGCATGGCTTTCATCCTATGCCTTTCTACCCTTATAACACCATTAGTTCGTTCTATGGCGCCATCTGAATAAGTCATTTTCGTATGTAGATGATAGTTGTGGGTTGGTTAGTCAGATCATTGAGAAACTAATCATAGCTAGAATAGAAATCAATCAACGAATAAATACAGTGACCAACAAATGACTCAGAAAGCAGATCGGCATTAGGGAAGCTACCTGCATCACGTTCCTTCACTAACTTGAATTTTTAAAAAAATTGTATCTATCTCAAATCACCTCTTAGTTTCCAGAAGCAAAAAAAATAATTAGTATAAGGTCCGCGAGCAGGTTCAACAACATTATAAGCTGCGTAGCAGGCCGAACGCGTTCGGGCGTTCACGCGAACAGCTTGCGAACATGTTCGTGCGAACATTTTTTTTTCGGTAAAAAAAAAAAAAAAAATTCAGTTTTGATTTTTAACTCATGATTGGCTACGAATTTGAATATGACTCCAACGCAAAAGTTGCTTGTATTGGTTTTTACATAACATATATGTTTTTCAAATTTTTATGACAACGTTTTTTTTTTTTTTTTTTTTATGTTCTCGTTTGGAGGGTTTTGGACGCTTGTTCGCGTTCGGGCGAACATGTTCGCATTCGCCTCCGAACGGGAACACGGTGCTACGTAGATTATAAGTAATTTTTTTGTCATATATAGCTGATTTGTCATGTTAAGAGATATGATCTACTGTCCAAATGCTAACCATTTTAATCATAGCAACATCCAGTCGTCCTCTTTCTTTATTATTAAAGGAAAATGCTCTACAAAATTTATGATACACTTTAAAGATATATTCATTTTTCTTAGGTCAGATAAATGGATTTGAGTAAATCTTCATTATGTCAAATCTCTCTCGGATTACTTTATTTCTCAAGTTTTGTTGACTCCCTTAGTCCTTTAATGATTCTCCTTTCATTTTGCAGTGCCCTATCATAGTGTTTTTCTATTAAAACGGTCACCAAGTTCTTCTTCACCACTCTGGGT